CAGCCAACGTGAGCGCTTCCGGGCATTTGGAGTCACAGGCCCAGGAGATGCGGCTGACAGGTCCTCATGGGTAGGAGAATCAGCATGCACTAAGGCTTCCTTGCGTGCTTTGTTCACGTCGGTGAGGATGGTGGAGGCCCCCGACACTACATCAGCGTCCACAGGAAGCTTTGCCCACGCCTGCTCTGGTCAGCCCTGTGGCGGGAAGACACGGCCCACATTCCAGGCACTGCCAGTGCTCAGCCTCCTGCCACCAAGTTCCCTGGGGTGCAGGGGAGGGGACCCCTTTTCCTTGTTTCTTCCTGGTCCACTCACTTGCTTCTAGCTCTCCCTAGCCCCCTGCCCATGCCTCGGGTAAGGGTTTTGTTGGAAGGGGCAATGTTGATGGTGCCTCTGTGGGTCACACGCCCCACCACGCCGCTGGAGCCGCCCTGCTGTTGTGGGAACACCAGGGCCCGTCCCGCTGGGAGACCTCAGGCCTGCCTTCCGCCGTGTGCCCGTAGGACTTCCCGCCAGGGAGACCACGAAGACCACAGGCCTGCCTTCCGCTGTGTACTCCGTGTGACTTCCCTGTTATTTCTCTTGTTACTGGGTCAATACACTTTCAGGTTTTGTGTGTATGTATACATACAGATAAAACAAACAGCACTGATTGAGAAGATGGTTTTGGGTCCCACTTCTCCATCTAGCTGTTTCCTGCCGGAGCCGCCTGGAAAAGCCCCTGCAAGTGGGAAGCGCGTGCCCTGGTTTTGGTGCCCGCCCATCTGCCCCAGCCCCTAGAGCCAGTCTTGAGGACTGGTCCTGGCCTCTGCCCTGGGGCTGGGAGTGGTAGTTTCTTGTACATACGCAGCTTTGTTGTATCTTAACACACACATTATTTTATGTCTGCCAAAATGGGATATGATTTGCTGCTTTGTTTGGCCACAATAGTAGTTGAGATGCAGCGTGTCTGCTCTGTGTAGGCGTCTGCCAGTGGGCCACGCGCGTGGCTCGCCCTGGTCCTGTGCGTGGTCCTGTGCGTGGTCCTGGCCTTGGGGCGAGGGCCCTTGCTGTTGTGCTGGTGGCAAGCAATGTTCACAGAGTGAGCTGTGTGCCACTGCTGTCATCTGAAGATGGCGCCTCACCGTCGCTACTTCCAGCCTCTTTCTTGTTTCAGAACGCACTTACTTGGGTGGATACGTTAGCCAGTCATGACATCTGAAGAAGTGCTCCCTTCCTTGGGTGGGGATCGCGTGCTCTGTCTATCTGTAGAGTGTTTGCCAGCCGCATGGCTGCACCCAGGTGCCACCGCTTCCCACACCACTCTCCAGTACTTGTGCCGCTTTGATGTCAACTAGGATGCCATCATTTTGATTTGCTCCTTTACTAATTATTATAATTAATGTCGCTGACGATCTGATTGTCACTCACCAGCTAGTTGCCAGTGAGTATGTTGTAAAGCTGTTCAAAAACACACAGAAATATGCTCTGTGCCGAAGGGCACGCCCCCCAAACATAAGCAGTGACTGCCCTGCAGAGCTTGGCAGACCACGGGTGCGCCATGGGCTGGCTGCGTGAGCCAGTCTGGAGAAAGAAAACACTGTTTCCCACCAGAGGCGCTCAGGAGCTGGGCCTGGAGCAGACTCTCAGAACACACAGGTGGGGTATGGACAGCGATGGGCGCCTCCCCAGGCCCACCTCAGCACCGGTCCTCGCCTTCTCTGAGGGCCAGCCTTCACAGGGGGTCACATACTGCGCTGCCTGAGAGCTCGATTTTGAATTTGAAAACTTACATTATGCACAAGGGGTTTTCTCTGCGTCTCCTCAAGACAGCTTTTACCAATAGCATTCTGCTCCTGAGGGAGGAAGGAAGCTTCCAGACTTTGCCAGCCTGGTCCTGCCACCTCAGGCGGGCCCCCAAATTGTTTTGCTGTTCAGTAGCACTGTCGTTGGGAAACTAGTTTCTGGTTCCAGTAGACTTTGTTTATACAGATAAAAGATATCTGGAAAAAGAATTTTTCAGTTTCACCAGCTGTAGTTTGGACTTAGGGAGTTAGATGAAGCTAGACAGGGATATCCGCACAGAAGAGCAGAGGTCGGCCTACTTCCTGTTGTTTTCCTTGCGCTCTTCTCGCTCTCTCTCTCTCATGTACACATACGGCCATGCTTGGACATGGCCTGGTTCTTCACTTGTAACTGTCTTCCCTGTTCACATTTGTCATGTTGGCTGCATCCTGTTCAAGCTGTGTTGCCATGGGCTGCATTTTATTATTTACTTACCTAGAGACAAGAACTTGCCCTGCCTTGCTGTGTAGTCCAGGCTGGCCTCATGGCTGCTCTCCTCTTTTTTTTTTTTTTAACTTAAAAACAAATGTTATCATTGAGGTGATGCACAGAGGAGTCACAGTTACATAGCAGGTGATGCGTGCACTTCTTGCTGGACAGGGTCCTCTTGCCTCAGCCTTTGAGGAGTTGGGAACCAGAGCTAACACTTTTTGCTGTTGTTTTCTGTAGGTTCCGCGATTTCTTTGAGGCTCTCCTGCTGTGACACAGTGGTTAGGCTGGGGCTCTCCCGCTGTGGCACAGTGGTTAGGCTGGGGCTCTCCCACTGTGGCAGGGTGGTTAGGCTGGGGCTCTCCCGCTGTGACAGGGTGGTGGTTAGGCTGGGGCTCTCCCGCTGTGGCACAGTGGTTAGGCTGGAGCTCTCCCGCTGTGGCACAGTGGTTAGGCTGGGGCTCTCCCGCTGTGGCACAGTGGTTAGGCTGGGGCTCTCCCGCTGTGGCACAGTGGTTAGGCTGGGGCTCTCCCGCTGTGGCACAGTGGTTAGGCTGGGGTTCTCCCGCTGTGGCACAGTGGTTAGGCTGGGGCTCTCCCGCTGTGACAGGGTGGTGGTTAGGCTGGGGTTCTCCTGCTGTGACACAGTGGTTAGGCTGGGGCTCTCCCGCTGTGACAGGGTGGTGGTTAGGCTGGGGCTCTCCCACTGTGGCAGGGTGGTTAGGCTGGGGCTCTCCTGCTGTGGCACGGCGTTGGTTAGGCTGGGGCTCTCCCGCTGTGGCACAGTGGTTAGGCTGGGGTTCTCCCGCTGTGACAGGGTGGTGGTTAGGCTGGGGTTCTCCCGCTGTGGCAGGGTGATGGTTAGGCTGGGGTTCTCCCGCTGTGACAGGGTGGTGGTTAGGCTGGGATGCTGCTCGCCTCCTGGTGTAGCCCACTGGTTTCACACTTGCCACCTCTAACTTGCCCCAGGGAGTGTATAGATTTGCTCTTTCAGTTCCTTCCTGGGCATTTACCATTCAAAATAACTCACCAATGAGAAATGAATGTGAAGTAGAGAGACCCTTGTACCTCCAAGGCTGGACTCGGAGACAAAAAGTGCTATAAAAGTGAGAGTTCAGTGGTGGTCTCACAAGACGGGGCGTCTGTGTGATAGCTGTCCTGCTATCTGGATTACAACGGCAATGTCTACCTGAGGGTGAGGCTCCTCTCCCAACGCTTCATTGTCCTGAGTCCTGTGGGGCTCATCTTCTCTCCAGATGCCATCCAAGTTACATTACTTTCTCCTGGATAACTTGAATACATGCCCCTCTGGAGATTAATTGAATTTTAGAGGTGGGCTGGCGGTCTTTACTCTCTGTTTTTCTGTGGTGGTAAGGCTTTCTGGCCTTTCTACTCATTTTCTGTTTTCCCTCTGCTAATCAGCCTACATCCCTGCTAATTGATCTTGTTGATGAGTGTTCCAATGCATGAACTTTTGTCATGTCCACAGGTGGTGGTGGAAACAACCTGCTGGTTTTCTACTTGGAGTCAAATACCTCGTTTTGAAAATGGGCCAATAAATAAATTATATCTAACACCTATTATTTTCTAGTTAATATGAGCTTGAATAAAGTCAGCTTTCAAGCCATAGTGACTGTATTAGTGCTTCTTGTGGCTTGATTGGCTGCCTCTCTGAGCTTTGAGGACCACGCCTTGCTTTGTGGTCATCTGCCCCCCTCACCATTTTTGTTGGCTTTTGGGATGCCCGGGAGATCCTTCACACCAGGCATTTTCTGGTTTGTGTTTTCTTGGCTTTTCTTATATCTTTCCCCTCTCTCCACATGCATTTCAGTAGCACTTTGTCTGTAAGCTAGATTGTTGGGATATCTGTTTCCTGGGACTGGATTGAACATATGCATGGCCCAGGGAGAGCTGGAGCATGACCTCCCGTGGCAGGGGCTGTGTTCGCTGTCTCCCATCAGCCATTTTCCCTGGGTGTATGGACAACTCAAACAGTTCTTAAGCTCATTCTTAGGTTATTTAACCTTTTTTTTTTTTTTTGTCAGTTGTGGGGCTTGAACTCTGGGCTAGGCGCTGTCCCTCAGCTCTTCAGCTCAAGGCTACCGCGCTACTGCTTGAGCCACAGCGCCACTCCCAGCTTTTTCTGCTTATGTGGTGCTCAGGAATTGAACCCAGGGCCTTGTGCATGCAAGGCAAACACTCTACCACTGAACCATCTTTCCAGGCCCAGTTATTTCATCTTCTTTGTTGTTTTATTAGGGAGGTTTTCTTTGACAGAGAGGCCTTTGTTTATTGTTTGCGTATATCATTCATTATTCCTGGTCTTTTCATGTTAATTTCAGGGTCTGTGCATTCCAAGGTCCAGGCAGGGGCAGGCGGCAGGGCTTTGAGCTGGTGCTGAGGGCTAGGCAAGGAGCACTTTGCTTCCCTTTCAGCCTTGTTACTCTGCTAGTACTGCTGTGTCCACTACAGACCTCATCTGAGTGGCTCATCTCTGCTTTGTACTCCCTGCTTCTGACACAAAGCACTGGCCATCAGAGCAGCTGGGCGTCTGGCTGGGCCTGTGCTCCACATGGCAGCTCTGTTTATTTATGTCCTTGGTTATTCTCAGTGTCAGAGTGCTGAGTGAGCGAATGAGAGAGTGGCCTCTCGCTGCTGCCCTGTGGTGCAGAGCTGGGGCCTTTGTGCTCCCTGGGGACCTAAGAGTGTAGGAAGAGGCTTGTGACAAGTGTCTTCCTCTGCTGCAGGCCCGGTACAAGCAGAGCCTCGACCCCACTGTGGATGAAGTCAAGAAGCTGTGCACATCGCTGCGCCGGAATGCCAAGGAGGAGCGGGTCCTCTTCCACTACAATGGCCACGGCGTGCCCAGGCCCACGGTGAACGGCGAGGTTTGGGTCTTCAACAAGGTGGGTCTGCCCTCCATACCCCTCTGAAGCTGGGTCAGTTAGGGTACTGGCCACGGCCCCGCGTGCTCACAGCCACTGCCACGCATGAGTGCTTTATCTTCCCGTGTCCAAGGACAGACAGTCAGCTGCACTGCACTGACAGACAGTAACTTGGAAGGATAGGGCAGGGGACCGGTTTGTGTTGGAGTCTAATACATGTGTGCAGTGACGTGTTCTGTGTATGACATGCGCGGTGACACGCGCTGTGACCTCGGTACAAGGGAGTCTGGTTTTCTAGTTTGAACATTGACCAGAGGTCTTGGTTTTATTAGCATCTTCTTGTGCAAATCAGTCATTTGTTTAGCCATCCTGGGCCAAGTGGCAGCCTGGTCTTGATAGGCAGCTCGGAATGTGGCACGCGATTTACAAGCTGGAGCTTTGCTGCCCCACTTTGTATTTAGCACCAAGACAGTTGAACCTGATTCCTCATGGTAGAGGACTCAAAGAGGAGTGAGGCTCAGTGTCCTACTGGGTGCCTTGTGCCTTGCGTTGTCCTGTTTACCTGCTGGTGCTTGGCACAGGATATACTACAGGATTGGCTGGTAAGACAACTAAGAGGCCTAGAGGAGAGTTCCCGGACCTGTTCTGGAGGGTGCAGCCAACAGGGAGCCTGAGGGCTCTGACTCAGCCCCTCCTGCAGGGCTAATACGCGTCTCCCTTTCTCAATGTCTTGGTACCAGCCTTGTTTTATTATACATTGAGTACGTCCAGAACCATAATTGAGATAGATCGAATTTAAAGAAATATGGCATTAAAAAAAATAAACCATCAGGCAGCCGGGCATTGATGGCTCACATCTGTCATCCTAGCTACTCAGGAGGCTGACATCTGAGGATCATGGTTCAAAGCCAGCCCGGGCAGGAAAATCTGTGAGACTTATCTCCAATAAACTACTCAGAAAGGGGCTGGGAAGGTGGCTCAGTGGTAGAGCACTTGCCTTGCATGCATGAGGCCCTGGGTTCAATTCCTCAGCACCACATAAGCAAAAAGAAAAAAGCCGGAAGTGGCGCTATGGCTCAAGTGGTAGAGCGCTAGCCTTGAGCTGAAGAGCTGAGGGACAGCGCCCAGGCCCAGAGTTCAGGCCCCACAACCAGACTCAAAAATAAAAAAAATAAATAAATAAACTACTCAGAAAAGCTGGAAGTGGTGCTGTGGCTCAAGTGGTAGAGCTCTAGTCTTGAAGACAGAGAGGCTCAGGGACATCGCCTAGGCCTTGTGTTCAAGCCTCAGGACCAGCAAAAACAAATAAACCACCAGGAGTCTGCCAGTATACTTCTCAGAGACTTCTGAGTTCCTGTATATTCATCGTCCCTCCCTCCCTTGGTCCCTCCCTCCCTCCCTCTTGGAAGACTGGTGCAGGAATCATTGAGCTTCCTGTTACTAGACCCCATGCCTGTCTGGATCAGTGGACATGGATTAATGCTCATGGATTAAAACCGTCAGATAGTTCTAGAAATGGAAGTTGGGATGTTTCCTGTTGGTATAACCACTCCCCCTCCCCCTGGGAGGTAGACAGTGGTCTGGGTGTTTCCTGTTGGTATAATGGGAACCCTCTTGAGAGTGCAGATACTGAGGTCAGGATATTTCCTGTTGGTGGGTTGGGTTGAGATTGTTCTGTAGATATGGACACTGGTCAGGGTGTTTGCTATTAGTGGGGTGGGTTCCATCCTGTGCATACAGACAGCCAGGTTTGGGGTATATACTATTAGGGAATGGACTACTGGGTGGGTGTAGACATAGGAGTCAGGTTGTTTCCTGTTGGTGTAATGGCATCCTTTAGGTCAAGGTGTTTGCTGTTGGTGCTGTGGGACCGTCCTGCAGGTGAAGACATGAGGGTCTTCCCATGGGTATACACGCTGGCCCAGTGCCTCCTGTTGGCAGATGAGAACCATCTCGTGGGTGCAGACACCGACTGGTCTGGGTGTTCCTGATGGTGGATCGGGACTATCCTGGGTACACAGACAGCAGGGTCACGTTGTTTCCTATTAGTGAGTGGAAACCTCCTGTGGAAGCTGGCATAGAAGCTGGGGTGCTCTTGTATGGACAGAGACTGTTGCTCTGTTTTGCTTTTGCGCATTTGCTTCTCTGGCTCAGCCTTCTGTTCTGAAGATGGATGCTTTTCGTGTGTAGCCAGGATGTCTTCCTGCCATTCTAGGTCTTCTGTGTTCAGATGTAAAGTGGGCCTCAACTGTGTCTTGTTTAATAGTGCCAGTGCTCGGCTCCCACCTTCCTGACCAACACTGGTTGTACCAGTTGGATGGGTGTAGAACTAGAAGATTGGGATGCAGCTTGGATTTCTCCAAAACCTGTTTATTGGTGAGCACTTGACTTAAGTGCTGCCGTGTAGCCTTCCTCTTCTGAAATGTGTGCTGGCTCCTATCCTTACTCCTCCCCTCCCAACCATATCTTTTTCTTGCTTACTTGAGAGAATTCTGTGTATTCCAGACATTGACTCTTCATCATTTTTATGAATTGGGACGGACTTCTCATGGTGCTCTTGATGGACAGGAGTTCATTTTGACGTAGTCACTTCTACTTCATGGAGTGGACTGTATCTTAGTAAGTCTGTATGCTGTGTGTTCCCCTAAAAGGCTTTCATCTACTTGGAAGTGATTTATTGTATCTAATGTGAGATGGGGGTCCAAGTTTACTTTTGCAAGTGGGCATTTACTATTCCACTGCCAGTAGCTCAGTCTGTCTACGCTGCTCTGCGGGTGTGTTTGGGACCTGTCTGTCCGTGACAGCATCAGCTCGATGGTCCACGTTTTCAGAAGCCACCTTTCTCTTTGTTCTATATGATGGTAACTAGGCCCTCTGGTCTCCGTGACAGCACTGAAGCATATGCCTTATTGATCGTAATAATTTGTCAGTATATTTCTTGTTTTTCTCCTAATAGACTGTGATGTCATCTGCAAACAGTGACAGTTTTATTTCTTCCTTTCCAGTTAGCTCTTTTTATTTATTGCTCTGGTTTTTTCCACGCTGGCTGGCTTGCTCATACCTCCAGGAAACGGAAGCACTGATCGGAGGCTTTTTGTATGTGTTGAGTGGTGTTATGTGACTAAGAGTGCATCCACCTTCCATTCTAAGGATAGCCAACTTGTCATTATGAATTATGTTCATACATGATTTAACTCAGCTTGTGGAATTTACATCTGTGTTTAGTGTTTCCCATCTGTGTTCACAAGTGAGATTTGCCTGGGAAGCGCCCCCCCACCCCCTTCTCGCTGTCTTTGCCTGACTTGAACGATCAATATTCAGTGGCCTTAGAAAATAAATGGGCAATGTGTCTTCTTGTCACATACACTGGAGTAGTTTTTGTAAAATTTGAAGTATTCATTGTGTGACTGCTGGTGGAACTTACAAATGAGGCTGTCTGGGCTGCCTGTTTCTTTGTCAAGAGGTCTTTGACTGCTGATCTAGATTCTTTCATGGTTAAAGAAAGAGCCATTCCAACTGAGCTTTCACCCGTGGGAATTTGTTGGCGCTTGTTGCTGTTCGTAACCCCTTATTACCCTGTCAGTGCCTGGGGTGTCTGTGAGAGAGGTTCCATTTGTCACTCTTGGTATGAATATACATGCCTTCTCTTGGTTCTTACTGAGGATCCAGAAGATAGAAGCCAGCAGAATGAAAATCTTTACACTTCCACCTGGGGCTGGCAGGCGCCCTGACACATTTGCTGGTTATCTCTCTGGGGGAGCCATGTCTGGGCTGCTTGAAAGACCTCAGGACACTAACAGAAGGGTGTTTCTCCACCTCCAGGCAGGCAATACCATTAAGTGGCTCAGGACTCTTAGCTTTTTTAGTTCTGTGATATCATTCCCTACGGAGTCCACATCTCTCCTCCCCCAGCTGTCTCACAGATGCATAGTAACACATGCTATTCTGCTCTGTGTTCACTCCTGGAACCCATGGCCCAGACCCTAGTCTCCTTGTCTTCACTCTGTTTTTTTGTTTTATTTTTGTTTTACAAGGCTTGGGGCTTGAACTCAGGGCCTAGACACTGTCTCTGAGCTTCTTTGGCTCAAGGCTAGTGCTCTACCACTTGAGCCATAGTGCCTCTTCCGGCTTTTTCTGTGTATGTGGTACTGAGGAATCAAACCCAGGATTCCATGCATGCTAGGCAAGCGCTCTGCCACTAAGCCACCTTCTCAGCCCCTCTTCACTCTTTTTTTGTTGTTGTTGTAGGTCGTGGGGCTTGAACTCTGGACCTGAGCACTGTCCCTCAGCTCTTAAGCTCAAGGCGAGCGCTCTACCGCTTGAGCCACAGCGCCACTTCCGGTTTTCGAGTGGTTTATTGGAGATCAGAGTTTCATGGACTTTCCTGCCCGGGCTGTCTTTGAACCTCGGACCTCAAATCCTTAGCCTCCTGAGTAGTTAGGATTACAGGCGTGCCACTGGCGCCTGGCTTCACTCTGTTTTATAGTTAGATTTATTTTGCTCTCTTCCTATGATGAGTTAGTTCATTTATATGTTGTTTTTTTTTGAAACATTAAAGGCTCTTGTTTTTAGAACAGCTTATTCCTCATGCTGGAACACTGGATAGTCCAACAGGCTCCCACATACTTTCCTTCCTTCTGCCTTCCCCTACTGTTGATATTTGCTTTGCTGTTTTTCATTTGTTGCTGTCAGTGAGTCAGTATTGATACATTGTTAATTAGCCTGTGTTTTACCCTAAGGTTCGGTCTGGGGGCAGAGAGGTATTAGCAGTGGGCTTGAACTCAGGGCCTGGGTGCTATCCCTAAGCTCTTTTGCTCAAGGCAACTTGAACACACCACTTGAGCCACAGCACCACTTCCTGTTTTCTGGTGGTTATTGGAGATGAGTCTCAAGGACTTACTGCCTGGGCTGACTCTTAACTATGATCCTCAGATCTCAGCCTGCTGAGTAGCTAAGATTACAGGCGTGAGCCACCAGGCCTGGCCTAAGGTTCATTCTTAGCATGTCTCTTCTGTGGATTT